CTGTCCCCCACCCTGTAGGAAAACCCTGCCTCTGCCTCCAGCATCCTGCAGGCAGCTTTGAGACCCCCACGGTGCCCCTCTTCATACCCAGGTCTGCTCCTTCCTCCATCCATCGGGGACCAACAGCGTCTGCTGAAGCCACCGCTGGAGCCCCGGGCACCTCTGCTCTGCAGCGCTGCAGCCCCTTAATGCAGGATGCAAACGAGTTCTTGTAGCCTTAATTAAATAATACATGAGAGCGTGCGGAAAAGGGGTTGAATTATTGATGGGCTGCCCCTAAAAGCTTTTGGATCTGCCCGGGAAGAGGGGTTAGCCATGGAAGCTGCCCTTGGTAGCTTAAATGTTTAGGAGAAACGAGCGCTTTAGCACTGACAAGGGCTTTTCTGGTTTGTTTCGCAGAAAACACCGAGGGAGTTTCTCTGCAGCTTGGGAACACCCGGGACTTTATTATTTCTTTTGATCTGAAGTTCATAACGAACGGCAGCGTTTCCGTGGTGCTGGAAACGACGGAGAAGAACCAGCTCTTCACCGTGCACTACGTCTCCAACACCCAACTCATCGCTTTCAAGGAGCGGGACATCTACTACGGCATCGGCCCCAGGACGTCCTGGAGCACCCTCACCAGGGACCTGGTCACCGACCTGCGCAAAGGCGTGGGCCTCTCCAACACGAAGGCCGTCAAGCAGACCAAAATCATGCCCAAAAGGGTGGTGAGGCTGGTGGCCAAGGGCAGAGGCTTCCTCGACAACGTCACCATCTCGGCCACCGCGCACATGGCGGCTTTCTTCGCCGCCAGCGACTGGCTGTTGATGAACCAGGACGAGAGGTGCGGCTGGCCCATCATGGTGACGAGGAAACTGGGGGAAGGCTTCAAATCCTTGGACCCGGGTTGGTACTCGGCCATGGCGCAAGGCCAGGCCATCTCCACGCTGGTGCGGGCCTACCTGCTGACCAAGGACCACGCGTTCCTCAGCTCGGCCCTGCGGGCCACGGCGCCCTACAAGCTGCCGTCGGAGCAGCGCGGGGTGAAAGCCGTCTTCATGATGGTACGAGGAGTACCCCACCTCGCCCAGCTCCTTCGTGCTCAACGGCTTCATGTACTCCTTGATCGGCCTCTACGACCTGAAGGAAACGGCCGGGGAGAAGCTGGGGAAGGAGGCGCGGGTCCTGTACGAGCGGGGCATGGAGTCCCTGAAGGCCATGCTTCCCCTGTACGACACCGGCTCGGGGACCATCTACGACCTGCGGCACTTCATGCTGGGCACCGCTCCCAACCTGGCCCGCTGGGACTACCACACCACCCACATCAACCAGCTGCAGCTGCTCAGCACCATCGACGAGGCCCCCATCTTCAAGGAGTTCGTCAAGAGGTGGAAGAGTTACCTGCGCGGCGGGCGGGCGAAGCACAACTGAAGCCGGCAGCCCAAAAACCTCAGCCCCCAACCCGCTGCCTTCA